GAGTAGTTGTGGTGGTTGAGGACGTGGGCGCTCCTTCAGTAGTGGTCGACGTAGTAGATGTCGTATTAGTGGAAGGAGACAATTCCTCGACCCAAACTTCCTCGACAATTTCCGTCGTAGTAGGAGTCGCAGTAATCTCGGTAGTCGAAGTTGTCGCGAAGGACAGAGTAGTTCTGGTTGACGACGTGATCGCTTCTTCAGTAGTGGTCGATGTAGTAGATGTCGTAGTACCAGCAGAAGACAGTTCATTGACCCTAGTTTTCTCGAGCCCCTCTGTCGTCGTGGAAGTCACAGTAGAAGTCGCAGCAACTTCGGTAGTCGGAGTTGTAGAGGACAGAGTAGTTGTGGTTGTTGAGGACGTGGTCGCCTCTTCGGTAGTGGTCCATGTACTGGAGGTCGTAGTACTAGAAGAAGATAATTCGTCGACCCAAACTTCCTCGAAACTCTCCGTCGTAGTAGAAGTCGTAGTACCCTCGGTAGTCGAAGTTGTCGCGGAGGACAGAGTAGTTGTGGTTGTTGATGAGGTGATCGCTTCTTCAGTAGTAGTCGATGTACTAGATGTCGTAGTACTGGGAAGGGACAATTCATCGACCCAGACTTCCGCGAGACTCTCCGTCGTAGTAGAAGTCGCAGTAACTTCGGTAGTCGGAGTTGTAGAGGATGAAAGAGTAGTTGTGGTCGATGAGGACGTGGTCGCCCCTTCAGTAGTGGTCCACGTACTAGAAGTCGTAGTACTGGAAGAGGACGACTCTTCCAACCAAACTTCCTCGAGACTCTCCGTCGTAGTAGGAGTCGCAGTAGCCTCGGTAGGCAAGATTGTGGAGGAGGACAGAGTAGCTATAGTCGTTGACGACATGGTTGCGTTTCCAGTAGTGGTCGATGCAGTAGACGCCGTTGTACTAGGAGGAGACAGTTCATCGACCCTAGTTTCCTCGAGACTCTCCGTCGTCGTAGAAAGAGTAGTTGTGGTTGATGAGGACGTGGTCGCCTCTTCAGTAGTGGTCCACGTACTAGAAGTCGTAGTACTGGAAGTAGGCGATTCATCGAACCAAGCTTCCTTGGGACTCTTCGTCGCAGTAGAACTCGCCGTAACCTCGGTAGTCGACATTGTAGAAGAGGGCAGAGTCGTGGTAGTTGTTGAGGACGTGGTCGCCTCATCAGTAGTGGTCCACGTACTGGAAGTCGTAGTACTGGAAGTCGTAGTACTGGAAGTCGTAGTACTGGAAGTAGGCGATTCATCGAACCAAACTTCCTCGCGACTCTTCGTCGCAGTATAACTCGCCGTAACCTCGGTAGTCGACATTGTAGAAGAAGGCAGAGTAGTGGTGGTTGCTGAGGACGTGGTCGCTTCTTCAGTAGTGGTCAATGTAGTACTGGAAGGAGACACCTCATCGACCCAAACTCTCTCGAGGCTTTCCGTCATAGTAGGAGTCGCAGTAACCTCGGTAGTCGAAGTTGTTGCGGAGGAAATAGTAGTTGTGGTTGTTGAAGACGTGATTGTTGAGGACGAGGTTGTTGAGGACGTGGTCGCCACTTCAGTAGAGGTCGACCTAGTAGATGTCGTAGTACTAGGGGAAGACAATTCATCGACCCAAACTTCCTCGAGAATTCCCGTCGTGGTCGTAGTCATGGTAACCTCGGTAGTCGGAGTTGTAGAGGAAGAAAGAGTAGTTGTGGTTGTTGAGGACGTGGTCGCCTCTTCGGTAGTGCTCCATGTACTAGATGTCGTAGTGCTGGAAGGTGACAGTTCATCGACCCAAACTTCCTCGAGAATTCCCGTCGTGATAACCTCGGTAGTCGGAGTTGTAGAGGAGGACAGAGTAGTTGTGGTGGTTGAGGACGTGGGCGCTCCTTCAGTAGTGGTCGACGTAGTAGATGTCGTATTAGTGGAAGGAGACAATTCCTCGACCCAAACTTCCTCGACAATTTCCGTCGTAGTAGGAGTCGCAGTAATCTCGGTAGTCGAAGTTGTCGCGGAGGACAGAGTAGTTCTGGTTGACGACGTGATCGCTTCTTCAGTAGTGGTCGATGTAGTAGATGTCGTAGTACCAGCAGAAGACAGTTCATTGACCCTAGTTTTCTCGAGCCCCTCTGTCGTCGTGGAAGTCACAGTAGAAGTCGCAGCAACTTCGGTAGTCGGAGTTGTAAAGGACAGAGTAGTTGTGGTTGTTGAGGACGTGGTCGCCTCTTCGGTAGTGGTCCATGTACTGGAGGTCGTAGTACTTGAAGAAGATAATTCGTCGACCCAAACTTCCTCGAAACTCTCCGTCGTAGTAGAAGTCGTAGTACCCTCGGTAGTCGAAGTTGTCGCGGAGGACAGAGTAGTTGTGGTTGTTGATGAGGTGATCGCTTCTTCAGTAGTAGTCGATGTACTAGATGTCGTAGTACTGGGAAGGGACAATTCATCGACCCAGACTTCCGCGAGACTCTCCGTCGCAGGAACCTCGGTAGTCGGAGTTTTAGGGGAGGACAGAGTAGTTGTGGTTGTCGAGGACGTGGTCGCTCCTTCAGTAGTGCTCGGCGTAGTAGAAGTCGTAGTAGTGGAAGAAGACAATTCCTCGACCCAAACCTCCTCAAGACCCTCCGTCGTAGTAGGAGTCGCAGTAGCCTCGGTAGGCGAGGTTGTGGAGGAGGACAGAGTAGCTATAGTCGTTGTCGACATGGTTGCGTTTCCAGTAGTGGTCGATGCAGTAGATGCCGTTGTACTAGAAGGAGACAGTTCATCGACCCTACTTTCCTCGAGACTCTCCGTCGTCGTAGAAGTCACAGGAACCTCGGTAGTCGGAGTTGTAGAGGACGAAAGAGTAGTTGTGGTTGATGAGGACGTGGTCGCCTCTTCGGTAGTGGTCCACTCACTAGTACTGGAAGTAGGCGATTCATCGAACCAAACTTCTTCGTGACTCTTCGTCGCAGTAGAACTCGCAGTAACCTCGGTAGTCGACATTGTAGAAGAGGGCAGAGTAGTTGTGGTTGTTGAGGACGTGGTCGCTTCTTCAGTAGTGGTCAATGTAGTACTGGAAGGAGACAACTCATCGACCCAAACTTTCTCGAGACTTTCCGTCATAGTAGGAGTCGCAGTAACCTCGGTAGTCGAAGTTGTTGCGGAGGAAAGAGTAGTTGTGGTTGTTGAGGACGTGATTGTTGAGGACGAGGTTGTTGAGGACGTGGTCGCTTCTTCAGTAGAGGTCGACCTAGTAGATGTCGTAGTACTAGAAGAAGACAATTCGTCGACCCAAACTTCCTCGAGACTTTCTGTCGTGGTAGGAGTCATGGTAACCTCGGTAGTCGGAGTTGTAGATGGGGAAAGAGTAGTTGTGGTTGTTGAGGACGTGGTCGCCTCTTCGGTAGTGGTCCATGTACTAGATGTCGTAGTACTGGAAGGTGACAATTCATCGACCCAAACTTCCTCGAGACTTCCCGTCGTGGTAGGAGTCATGGTAACCTCGGTAGTCGGAGATGTAGAGGAGGAAAGGGTAGTTGTGGTTGTTGAGGACATGGTCGCCCCTTCGGTAGTGGTCCATGTACTAGATGTCGTAGTACTGGAAGGTGACAATTCATCGACCCAAACTTCCTCGAAACTCTCCGTCGTAGTAGAAGTCGCAGTATCCTCGGTAGTCGGAGTTGTAGAGAAGGACAGAGTAGTTGTGGTTGTTGAGGACGTGACCGCTCCTTCAGTATTGGTCGACGTAGTAGATGTCGTAGTAGTGGAAGGAGGCAATTCCTCGACCCAAACTTCCTCGACAATTTCCGTCGTAGTAGGAGTCGCAGTATCCTCGGTAGTCGAAGTTGTCGCGGAGGACAGAGTAGTTCTGGTTGTTGATGACGTGATCGCTTCTTCAGTAGTAGTCGATGTACTAGATGTCGTAGTACTGGGAAGGGACAATTCATCGACCCAAACTTCCGCGAGACTCTCCGTCGCAGGAACCTCGGTAGTCGGAGTTTCAGGGGAGGACAGAGTAGTTGTTGTTGTCGAGGACGTGGTAGCTTCTTCAGTAGTGCTCGGCGTAGTAGATGTCGTAGTACTTGAAGAAGACAACTCCCCAACCCGAACTTCCTCGAGACTCTCCGTCGTAGTAGGAGTCGCAGTAACCTCGGTAGTGGAAGCTGTAGAGGAGGGAAGAGTAGTTGTGCCTGTTGAGGACGTGCTCGCCTCTTCGGTAGTGGTCCATGTACTAGATGTCGTAGTACTGGAAGGTGACGATTCATCGACCCAAACTTCCTCGAAACTCTCCGTCGTAGTAGAAGTCGCAGTACCCTCGGTAGTCGAAGTTGTAGAGAAGGACAGAGTAGTTGTGGTGGTTGAGGACGTGGTCGCTCCTTCAGTAGTGGTCGACGTAGAAGATGTCGTAGTAGTGGAAGGGGACAATTCCTCGACCCAAATTTCTTCGACAATTTCCGTCGTAGTAGGAGGCGCAGTAACCTCGGCAGTCGAAGTTGTCGCGGAGGACAGAGTAGTTCTAGTTGTTGACGACGTGATCGCTTCTTCAGTAGTGGTCGATGTAGTAGATGTCGTAGTACCAGCAGAAGACAGTTCATCGACCCTAGTTTTCTCGAGACCCTCTGTCGTCGTGGAAGTCACAGTAGAAGTCGCAGCAACTTCGGTAGTCGGAGTTGTAGAGGACAGAGTAGTTGTGGTTGTTGAGGACGTGGTCGCCTCTTCGGTAGTGGTCCATGTACTAGAGGTCGTAGTACTAGAAGAAGATAATTCGTCGACCCAAACTTCCTCGAAACTCTCCGTCGTAGTAGAAGTCGTAGTACCCTCGGTAGTCGAAGTTGTCGCGGAGGACAGAGTAGTTGTGGTTGTTGATGAGGTGATCGCTTCTTCAGTAGTAGTCGATGTACTAGATGTCGTAGTACTGGGAAGGGACAATTCATCGACCCAGACTTCCGCGAGACTCTCCGTCGCAGGAACCTCGGTAGTCGGAGTTTTAGGGGAGGACAGAGTAGTTGTGGTTGTCGAGGACGTGGTCGCTCCTTCAGTAGTGCTCGGCGTAGCAGATGTCGTAGTAGTGGAAGGAGACAATTCCTCGACCCAAACTTCCTCAAGACCCTCCGTCGTAGTAGCAGTCGCAATAGCCTCGGTAGGCAAGGTTGTGGAGGAGGACAGAGTAGCTATAGTCGTTGACGACATGGTTGCGTTTCCAGTAGTGGTCGATGCAGTAGATGCCGTTGTACTAGAAGGAGACAGTTCATCGA